CACGATGACATCTCCACTAAGTGGCCAGTAAAGCAGCCTTTTGGTCACTGGGATCCTGCTTCTAATCATGCGGATAAAAGTACTCTACAGGACGTTAACAACACCAGTTTCTCCTCAACCAAAGCAACGAGCTTGTCATGCCCAAGTGATGCAGTAACTAACGCCAATACACATGGTCTAGATGTTGGGATACAAGAGTTAGGCAGTCCAAGCTCAGAAATCTCAATTTGTACCACTTCAAGCTTACGTCGTCAAAGTGTTCGAGACTTGTTTGATGTTTACGGTATTGAACGACCAGAAGGGCTTGTTCCTGATAGAGAACCATCTCGAGATCTAGAAGATACTCCAAAGCCTCCTCGAGTTCGTGTGGATTGTCATGTCTGCAAATGGATGAATGGCGGACTTGATAAAAGGTGCCGGAGATGTGGACATCGGCTGTGTAAAGACTGCGATTCAGGAACTCTTCCACAAGCCAATGGTATCAATACAAATAATTTTGACGGCCGTGCTACCAGATACGTACCCTGCGCTGTACCGTATCAGGAAGATCAGAATACTACTGTAGAGCTAGATGGAGCAATATCAACGCCCTTGTATCGATGTCGAAGCTCTGATCCGCAGTTAGAAAGACAATCCGGTCTAGGAAACACATCCCAATATTCTCATACACATGAGGCGCTTTGCAAACCTCCCCCGCGGAGGATCACCAAATCAACACCACCCGGCTTTACTAGAATGAAACCCGCAGAAAAGCTAAAATTTAGTCATCTCCTGCCTGATATTCATACAACTTGCGTGACTTCTCCTTTTTTATTTACGGATGTATGCTCAGCTGCCCGATTGCAGCCGTCTCCCAAGAGTACGAACCACTACTATCGAATTCGCCATCATCACCACCGCGAAAATCATCGTCAACACCATAAGAGCCACTACTCTTCTGACGACTGTGATGTTAGCACAGGATGTTGTTCACCACATGCTGAAGGTAAATTAAATACTCACTCGCCGCCCATATATTCTCAAAGGCAACGCGGCCCAATCGGGAAAGAGGAGGAGAGCAATGATGTTCTATTCGAGCGAACACCGCGTCGACTCCGGAGAGAAGAATCAGAACATGAAACTGTAGAATGTCGTGGATATCCTAGAACTGGGCATGCTCGTCATAGTAGCCCAGCCAGCAACCCAGGTACAGTTGGTATATGTCAGCATTGCCTAGATGATTGTCAATGCATTGCGTGCCAGGACACACATCATAATGTTAGATGCTGTGTGCATAAAGATCATCGGCCATATCTCCATCACCACACCATTAGCCCGAGGCAATCAATTCATACACAATGTGTGTTTGAGCCAGCAGCAGAACTTGTTCATGAACCTACACGCCCTTCATCAGTTCGATCTGCAAGCACTGTTAGACCTACTCCAAAACTCGCTCAGTTTGACTATTCTGGTGAGGTGGAGCAGGTGAGCAATATGGATGATGAAACGACTTTAAGACTGGATAGCCAGAAGTCGAGACATAGCTCACAATCGATGAACTCTTCTACGTCTTCTACTCCAAAATTACCTCGAAGTACCACAATTCGGCCACGGCAATCACCAAGGAGGGAATTTAAACGAAAAGCAAAAAAGATGTCTTCTCAGCAGTTAAAACTGATAACGAGACTCGAGAAAGAGCGATTACCCCCTGTGCCGCCTTTACCACCATGGGCTATAAATGCAAACTCCAGAAGTGGCCGCTCTCCCCAAATGATCTCACAGTCTAAGCAAATTGACCCAGGTACAAAGACGCCATCTATCCCTAGAAACCATTCCCAAGCAACAAAGGCTCCTACCCAATCTTCTTCACAAGCGGGTTATACACTTATTGAGGGACATAGTTGCGCTTCTCCATCCAAGTCGCCATTGATAGGGTCTACACCTCTTCTTTCCGGTGATGGAAGTCCAGATGAAAGTGGCGACCATCGTTCAGCAGGACCCATAGCTACCGAGTCGCCTTATGAAAATAAATTCCTACCAGGAAAAGCCTTGCCCAGTAAGGAAGAGAAACTGAGGGCCTCCCCCAGACCTCTACCAAAAAGAAGGGTTTCCGCTCCCTGCGATTCCCTAATGCAAGAAATAGAGCCTGCAGATTCTAAATCAAATCGTACGCCATTAGGGTCTCGCAGAGAACCAACTCCTAGGACTACGTACTCCCGTAGAGAACCATGCCAAGAACAAAGAACAGATCCTTCCGCGCCACCTGAGAGGAAAGCTAGGACGCGCTTCAGATCGCCAACTCTGGAGCAATCTCAACTTGAAAGGAGGTCAAGAATTCAAGAGTGGCAGCGCCGTTCCCGTAGTGCAAGTATTGGTCTTCCGTCAAGGAAAGATTGTGAATCACCGAGTTGTGAGAAGTACATATACGGCTTTACTGAGTCAAATAGTCATGAGAGACGTCGGCAAGAAGGTACTCGTACATCAGACAAGAAACCTAACACTTCTATTTATTCCTCGAAGGCTGACCCGCATTTTCACGGTCGATCGTCCCACCAGGAGAAGAGTCTTTCTGAAATCCAGGGTCGAGGCCGGCCTCAGGAGAGCGGAAAATATCTTCGCTCAATAGACATAATATCAGACAATTATTATAGTCCGATTCAAGGTCGTGCGCACTTTTCGCGTAAGCGCCCCAAGGGCAAGCAGGCAAGGTCATCTTCTGCTCATGAAAGTAAACAGTCGCGTTCTCCTAATGCAGGCATGGAGCCTAGAGGCTCTAGTCGGCCAAAGATCAGAGTTTCTAGTCCTGAGAGCAAGGCCTCACATGCTAGTAGCAGCATTAGTCGTTCTGATAGCAAAACCCCTCCCCCTGGAAGGGGGAACTCTCGACCTGAGAGTGAAGTTTTGTGCGCTGAAGCCAAAAGCTCTCACTTAAATAGCAGAGGCTCTCTTCCTAATAGAAAGTCTCACTGTACTGCAAAAGAGCAGTCATCATATGAAAAACAGTGTTCTCAATCTAGTGCCAACGGTGACTCGCGTAAGCGACAAGACGGCCCTTCAAGCCCAGTGTTAGAGTCAAATCCGACTGCAGGCTATGCGCGAAGGAGGGAAGACCGTACGTCCGAACATTTAGATAAGCTAAACCATGTTAAGATGTATGGTGAATTTAGCTCAGAAGATAATGGCAAGAAGAATCAGCGACACAGCAGGAGAAAGTCGGTTAAGGATGTTGTTAAAGGTCTCGAAGAAATGAGCTCCAGACTAGACCCTAGTGAAAGAAAGACAACATCTCATTGGTTCCCAAGATTTGAGCTCGTGGATAAGAAACTGAACGCCTGTTGTCCCAATGACAAGCCGCGTCCGGAACATCATTTGAGCGAGGATGAGGCTGTGAATGGCGAGAAAGAATCAAGGGAGCATAGACTGAGTGATGAGGAGTGCGTTATGAGAAAGAGGAAGCAAAGGTCTGCTGAGCAACAGCTGCCTTTTGATTGGTGCATTGCTGATGATTATGATGATTATGACAAACGCGCAAGAGACCAAGATAGGCAAAGACCAAAAGAAAATTGTTTGAGTAAGCGTTGTCCAGAGGCGGAGAAGGAAGGGGTCGAGAAAGATAACTCGAATGGTCCAAATCATCCGGATCCGTTTGAGAACATAAGAAAGGGTAAGGTGGAACTGTGCGGGCGGCGGCATCATAATGATTCCGGTCATGTGAAAGATCACCACAGACCAAGAACTAAAAAGAAAATCATCGATAGTGACATGCCAGATCGAGGCAAAGGCTATCTAAATTTGCGGAGTGGAAAGATAAAGAGAGGTCATCATGGCAATTCCCGAGCTTCCCAAGCCTATCAAAAGCCACCAGCTAAAAAGAAAGAAAGGGATAATCATGGAGGTTCTGAACATTCTCCAATCCTCCAGGAGCCGCAGACTCGAGATAAAGAATCGCCTGATGAGGCAGGATCGGATGATAACCAATATTACAGGATGGAGGAGGGCAGTAATCATGATTCTCATGACCATTGTTACGAAATTATAGAGAAGAGGAGATACGGCGGCTATGCAAAACAAGCTGATAACCACGTTTATGACTATGAACTTGATGACGAGCATGACTGTGTATGGAAGAACAGATTTTTGGAAAAGGAATGCGGAAGTGATGACTTGCAAAGTGTCACCATAGTTCTAAAGTTCACGGAGGGGGAGGATGCGGTGATCGAAGTGGATTTAAGGAGAGTGGAGGAGTAGTTTGGTGTGGCGTAAGCGGCCCTAATAAGTAGCCTGGATGTGGTTTATGCTTAATTAGTTATGGAAGAGACAAACTTCAGATATAGTCTTATCCTTTCCTGACGTTCTGGCTTGGAGAGATGAATAGATTGATTATCAAGGGATGAATTGGTAGAGAGATGACACAATTTGAATACTTTGATTCTCCCTGATCTTGATCATTCTGATTTAATTGATGAAGCAGCCTAGTCCATCTCTCATGCGTCCCTAGTTCTTTTTTGCTGTAATTTATCACAAACTTCTAGCATCTTACAATAGAAACTGCTCGTACTTCTCCAGCATTTTTATCGCATCCAAAATGTTAGAAAAAGGCGGGCTGGTCCATTGATATTAGAGCTCGCTTAAGCCCCTGAATCGATTGTTCAGCCATTGACTGCCTCCCTTTGCGAGCTTTAATGATGGTAGCCAGGAAAGAAGCACGAATTAGTTCCGTATCTGAAGTTGGGTTCACAGATTGGCCGGCAAGAAGCAATCGCCACTTGGCATACGCAGCTGGTAATAAGTGATAATGTGTCTGGTAAGCTGTGGGATAATGATGGTTTCCTCCCCCCCTTTGCACGGGCGGCGTGGAAGAGGAGATATGACTCACCACGCTGCTAGAAAAAATTTACCAAAGTCAAGAAGATCCGCGAGCATAGCCGAATGCTCTAAGATTTGGCGGATTTTATTCTAGCGAAAGATAAGGGGGTCTAAAGCTTTGAAAAGCGTAAAATATGAGAAGGAAAAAAAGAATATAGCACGGCCTGGTTTTGATCCAGGGACCTCCGGGTTATGAGCCCGGCGCTGCTTCCACTGCGCCACCGTGCTTTGGATTCAGATTTAATGAAATATATTGTTATTTGGCTCTATGTATGGTGTCTTGTATGTTAGGTGGATACGAGAGGTTGAAGTTGTGAGTCACTGCGCTTGACTTGGTGGAGTAAGAGAGGGAAGCCTGAGGCTACGCTTATTTGACGCTTTAAACTTCGCATGAAGCGGTATATATTCATGGTATCTATGGCATCAATGTATCGAAGTAGTATGCGTTCTCGGCGTATCGTAATAATATCGAAGCTGGAATGGCGATGGAGTAATGCAGGCCTTTATTTGATCTCTTAGGCTTTAGGCAGGCCTCCAAATCCAGGCCTCTCATGCTCCCCAAGCGTCTACTGGGGGTGCTCTTATGCCATGAGATTACACATACCGACCAATGTCCTTCTGAAATTCTCTTTTCTCTCTTTCGCCATCTCACCACACATCCTCCGGCCGCACCGCGATATCCTTACCGTTCTCCCGTATATGCTTCCTATCCTTATCTCTCTTTAAAGGTTTCCGCATATCATAAGCATCCTCGCCATTCTCATTTGTCGGATCACTCGGGTCATCAACATAATACTCTATTACCCGTCGGAATACCGTATATCCCAATCCGTTATACAAAGACTGCGCAACTTTATTACTTTTCCTGACATACAGGTCGATGAACCACGCATCGTATTCATCGCCGGCCAACTCTAGTGACTGTGAGAGCGTCTGGGCCAGGCCTAGGCGACGAGCATGGGGAGCGACGGTTAGAGCGGTGATATGTGCGTGGAATGGGAGATAGTGTGCGCTGAACTGAGCCTGTGGTGGAGAAGACTCGAGCTTGGCCATTACTGGAGGCTTGTTAGCTGAAGTCGCAGAGTAAAGGGAAGAGGAGGTACAATAGCCATCGATAGTCCCGTCAGGCCCTTCTGTGACGGTGAAGAGGTGTGGCCAGCGGGCGAGGTAGCTGTAGTAGAAATTCAGGTCATAGGTTTCGGTCAGAGGATCAAGGTTGGTGGGGTTGAACTTGAAAACGTCCATGGCGTGGAAGGGGCGAAGAGAGGTCATTTTTTGAAGGCGATTATGGTACCTCTGGATCGTGTATTGGCACATCTATGTGCTGAAGCCGCATGCGCACGTCTAAATGTGTTGTATATTTGATATTGATGCACCAGAAGTTTAATGTGGGGCCTGTGACGGTGATGTCTGGGCATCTCATGGGGCCCTTGATCCCTGTGAGTTCCCCTCAAACACTCTGACCGCTGCATTCGAACGCATTTTTGGTAGACTTACGTTTGCGCTTTCCAATATAACAGTGTACGATGCTTTAAAACCCTTAATTTCAGCTTTTAAGAGTTTTGGGACTGAATATTCATGCCTTTATTCTTTTGACTGTAGTGCATCAGCATTAATCTTGTGATAGCAGGGGTCCGGCCGCCAATCGTGAAATGTCTGAAGCAACGCCATCTCAACCTTTATCATATTAAATCCGCGATAGTTTGATATACCCTTCGTCTCCACGTCGACACGGTCGCACACTACGATCAACACAAACTAGACTTCGCCTTGCCCTGCGCGTCTGCCACCGTGTAGCTTAACTGAATCCGCACTTTTGCACAGCACAGGTTAAACTCAACTTAAAGGAATCGTCTCCACACGCAGCCATAGATATTCGAATTTCAAGGGGAAGCACTTCAAGGGCAGAACGGGAGGTATCTGCCAGAGTACCACTGTCGGGTAAGAAGTCACGATGCCTTCCTCACCGCGGACGCCTAGGCATAGTAGGCACTCCTCTATCGCAATTAATACACCTGCCGCGAACGACCCAACTACCAGAAGAAATTCCAAAGCTTCCGTACATTCGCCTCGCACGCCAAACCGTCAGAGCTTCCACAGATCAGATTCAATCAATATAGATGTGCTTAACAGCGCTGGCCCGACACCACATGCGAATGGAGTAGGGCTGGGCAATCTAGCAGATGAGTTGGCGGATGCTTGGGGTTCAGAGGAGGAGGATGAGGAGCCGGATATGAATTTCCAAGAGGCCGCCAGACAGGATGGAGAAACTACGAGGGATAGCGGTGTGGATGTCACTTCGTCACCAGTGCCCAAGACTTCTAAACCTGCACACTTGATGACGCCTACAGTCAACAGAGGGCATCGGAGACAGCAGAGCGATTATGATGGGAGTGACTATGGGGGAGATTCGGACCTGGACTCACCAGGAATACCTACCGCGTTGCAGAGGGGCATGGATATGGTGGAAAGTCTGGCGAGGCGCGGAACAGAAACTACTGGTACAGAGCGGGATGGGGTTGTGGGTAGGGTAATAGATGGCTTGAAAGATCTGGGTGGCCAGTCTGGGGTAGAAGGAGGCGCTACACGGTAGGTTATCAAGTTTCGTTTCAAGTATGGTTTCTGACTGGTACAGGCTTATCACTGCGCATTCTGCGCTATCTACTCATCTCCTTCACCAAACCCGACTTCTACAATCTCTAGCATACCCATTATTCTCGCCTTTAACTTTACCCCCCGATGAGGAATTCATCGACGAGCTAATGCCGATACTCGCCAGTCTAGGAGAATCAATGCCTCGGCCCACGACCGCAGCTTTCAACTCCTTGACACAACTCCACGGCCTGACTTCGGACCTAGTTCAGACACTTAACTACCTATCTGACACCCTACACATGAGCCGCCAAACAACAACTACAGCCTCCCGGCGACTGAAGAGCGCCCGAGAACTAGTAGCCGAGATGCGAAAAGAGGAAGACGAGCGGGAGGAAGGAGAGCGGTGGCTAACACGAGGGAATTGGTCAGAAAGGCTCGGGAATAGGGAATGCGCTGGTGTATGCGGGGATGTGGTTGGAGGATTCGAGGAGGTGTGCAATGGATGGAGGGCTAGACTGGTTGCGCAAGCAGAGTCTGTGGCGGCTTGAATGCATTACGATAACACGATAGATCTGTTGCATATAATGGTAGAGGCTGGGGCGTTTGATGAAGATGTTTAGACCTACTAAATGCATGAAGGATGATTTTACGAGCTTGCTGTGTGTTACCTATTTTGGCTGCATTGAAAAATCAGTGATCGTTGGCCTCTAAGCATAGTATACGAATATTGGAACGTCAGCAAATGCAGGTGCGTCTTTTCATTTGTGCCATGTGTTTATTGCATATTATAATCATTACTGCCGCCTAAGCTTTAGTTTCTTAATATTTTGGCTCAATATGTCGTACACTTCGGCTGGACATCCCCCTCTCGTACCCCTTTTCTAAGCGAAATCCCATACGAGAAGCACTTGTACACTTACGCAATGCTTTTAATTAAGATCTGGACCCACGATGGAGAGTTTGCAGTCAACCGCATACTTCTGCTTGAATCGCGGAACCATGTCTGGGTTGAGGGGCCTTCCAGCCAGCTTCTGCTCCTTGTTTAACCGCAGCTCTGCGTCATTGAAACTTCTCTTCTGGCATCAACAACAAGTAGTAACCGCCTGCTCCTCAAGATGTGTCAACAAATTTATCAAAATATATTCATGTGGCCGGTAACCCACTGTTGCCTGTATAACTACTAGATCACTAGCTCGAATCCAGTGTTTTCCCCATCACCAACTGAGGTAGAGCGAAGTGATTCAGCGCACAGACGTTGGTGGAGAGATTGAGTTAGTGTTGAGGAAATAAAGAGATTCGATTGCTGAGGCGTTTTATGTGCCGATTTATGGACTGGCGCTTAGATCAGGCATATCTGGCAATGATATTCGCTAGCATTTTCAAGGAATGCTACTCAATGGCACTACGTTCTGCTTTGAGAAAGAAATCTGCAAATGATCCTGTGTCAGTTGCCAGAGTTGTGAAGCCATGAGATGCCAGCACACCAGCATGATGTCACATAGCAGCATATCCTCTGTTTGTATAATCTATCATCTAATTGCTCATGCTCATCTCTTCATAAAGCTCTGTTTCATCGTCCGGCGGAAAACGACACAACCGCCCATTTTCCATTCCACGCCCATTTTCGTGCTCCGCTGTCCCCACCCCCACCGTCAATAGCCCTTAGTTTCTCATCTTCACCGGGCTTGAGACCAACCACAACATCTGCCTTGCATGTCCGCAATGCAAGAACGTTGACACCAGATCCTGGGCCTAATGGACCTATTGCGGTGGCGAATGGTGTGGTTGGATCCCACATACCCTGTATTCGTTAAATACTGTCTTTTTTAGATGCTGTTGGAAGGCTCAACTTACATCACCAGTCAACTTTCTATAGTTCAAGTCTCCCTTAAAAATCACTAACTCACTATCCTTTAAGTCTTCATAGAGGCTAGGAGCGGAAGTAGGTAATCGCCAAAAACTTCCCCCTTCGGTCCAGAACCTATTGCTTCTGAGTATCAATTGTCCTTCAGCATGGAACTTGCTCCATTCCGAGAACAGGAATGAAAGTTCATCCTCCTCCTTCGACGATAGTGGTGTTGGGTTATTCCCAGAATTCTTCTCGTCGTCGGATGGCGTTGAATAGAATGACTGAGCGTCGGTTAATGCTCCAAGAAGAGCTGCAAAATCAGCTGGCACAACATCTGAAACAAACCATGGAATAGTTTTTGGGTGTAGGATAATATGAGTCGCAAGCCCCGAGGAGAGAAGATATCCGGCCAAGATAAGATCCACATAAAGCTCGAATCCAGCATTGTCTAGGACAATATCAACTCGACGTTCCTGTTTCCGGCTTTCCCTAGCCTCTACCAATCGGTCATATACAGCCTCTAGATCATTGATGAGGATGTTCTTTTCCGATGCCTTACGCGCTTCAGAACCTTGTAACTTTTGGATGTCTTCGTAGGTTAGGGATGTCAACAAGGACAGATCCGTGGCATTTCCCCACAGACATATTTCGCACATTTCCATGAAGACCAGCTTTTCAGCGCCTTCCACCTGCTCTTGTTTGCTCTCCAATGTCTTTACTAAGTCGTGGTAACGGCTTGCGAGCTCGATCACAGCAGGACGAGATGATCGGAAAGTGGACATCT